TGGCCACGCGCTTGGTCGGGAGTCAAGTAATTGACAAACAATTACCTTTAACGCAGCATTGTTCCCGCTCTGAAGCTCTCTTTGATCCTCGGCGTCCTCTGCTGTGTTTTGTTTTTGTTTTTTTTTTGTTGTTGTGTTCGGCATTTTGGCTTTCAAGTTTTGGTGCGCAGAGACAAACACCTCAATTCTCAATTTTGGTAGCCAAAGCGAGCTGCTTTGGTTATGCAGAGCCTAGGCGATTGTCTGCTGCTGGTGCTGCTGCACCCCCAACACCTGCACACAAAAGACTTGGAGCAGCAGACCCAGGGCAAGACCCATAGCCCCAAACCCATTGCCCATGCCCCGAACGCCCCCCCCCCCCCCCCCCATACCCGATATTCCAAACCCATACCTATACCATAATAATAAATATTTCATGAAGCTGTCAGCAACAAATAATCTAAAACTGCAGCAAGCTGACCAAAGGCACAAAGGAGCCGCCACCGCCGCCACTTTTGAGAATTTGTTGGCTCCAACTTCAGCCTCAGCTTCAGCTTTGGCTTTTCGCATTGGCTTTGGCTTTGACTTTCTGGGCTGCACAATGGCCGCCGCCCTGGCAAGCGTCTACTTGTGGGTGTTAGCAGTCACTACTGGGCAAGGAATGCGGAAAGCTGCGAGAGTTACCAGTTACCAGTTGAATGCATTTATTAAACATAAATTCATGGCCATATTGACATTGCATTTGCTCACCAAAATCAATTCAATTCAAATATGCATGCATCCGAGCCAGTTTCATGGCTGCAACTGCAGTGGCACATTCGGAGCTGGAGCTGAAGCCTGTAGCTGGCATAAATGGAGCAGCCATCGCCCGCTGCATGCACCTGTCAATGCATTGACATAAACCATAAACCGGTCGAAAGCGCTGCTGCTGCTGGTGCTGCTGTTTGCTGCTTCTGCTGCTTCTTACGCACTTGCAATGAGATCAGCACGGGATGCTGTTGCAGATACTGCTGCGGACCTGTTGCCATCATTTGATGCGTCAAACATGCGCTCAAACGCCTTGCCATGCCTTGCCTTGCCTCGCCTCGCCTCACCTCGCAATCTCGTGCATCGGCCTCGGCCTCGGGCCTGGCAGAAAATTTTTATTATTATTATGACCATTTTAGCTACCAAGCATGCGTAAAGCATACGGCCAAGTGGGCCGGCAACCACATCCACATCCACGTCTGAGGCTCGTCTGCTTCTGCGCCGGCGCAGCGAGCGCAGCATCAGCAGCCAGCCAATAAATTGTGACGCTAATGTAAAGTGTGGCAAGCCATTAGCATTGCGGTACGAGTTGCGGGCAGCGGGTAGTTAGCAAAGTCAGCAGCCGCGGGTTATTGAACCTGCCCCACAGGGACAGCTGACGAGAGCATCCCGTGGCACCTCCAAGTGGAAACTGGCCAAGCCCACATACAACATCTAGAGCAAGGTTGCGTGGGCAGCTCCACACATTTGAAGTTAGCCTCCTCATTACCGGGGAGAGATCGACTAGCTGCCAGTCAAAGACAACCACTGATGTGTTGATACCGATATAGAAACGATAAATATAAAGAGCTTTATTTATATATATGCCAATGAATTACTTCACAGAGCATTTCTAAAACGAAAGAAAAAATACATAAATTAAATGAAAATATTAAATTGTTTAATTTGATAATATAATATTATATTCAAGGAGCCAATGGAAAATAATTAAGTCCTCAAGATGTTGCCATATTAATTCAAAATGACTTCATTATTAGTCGATAGGCCCTCGCAGCAAGCAAGATTGAGACCTGGCTGCCCTGGAATTGGCTCGCCTTTTGGCATTTTGTTTTATGACGTCCGCTGAATGATTTCACTTCCAGCGGAAAACGGAAGCAGCTAGTTTGACTTGACTGGCCGTGCTGAATGTTGTATGTTGAATGTTGCAAGATGACTTCCTCGATAACGCATATTTTTTGTAGGCGCTGGCTCTGGTTTGCATTTAATAGATTAATTAGAGAGGCGGCCAGAGCCGCCCAATGATTAAGCAAAAGTTGTTGTCGCTCGCCGACTTCCGTCAATCAAACTGGCAAGGAAATGTGCAGCAGCACAGAAGATTGCGGGAGGCGGTGGTGCGGCTGCTGCCGCTACCGTTTGGTGTTGCTGCTGCTGCTGCTGCTACTGCTACTGCTGCGACAGGTGGAGGCGACACTTGCCAGCGACAATTTGTTGTTGTCCAAGTTAAAGTTTATAAACCGGCCAAAAGACAAACGCAAAAGTAAGCGCAAAACTCAATTCAAACGCCTGCTGCGACTGCGACTGCGGCTGCTGTCCAATTTTTTTGCGCCGCCTTTTGTCAACTGGCACGGCGAGGTGCCCCGGACGACGGCGATGGCGACACACAACAACAACAAGTTGGGCAACAGCAACCAAAAAAAAAAAAAGTACATACAACAAAAAAACAAAAAAAAAATGCCAACCGCAAGGCACTTGATGCCAAGCGACGGTGGCGCTGGCGGCGCTGGTGGCGATGGCCAGGTCCCGAGCCCAAGCCCAAGCCCGAGTCCGGGCCCAATGTCGACGACGACAGAACGTGGTTAGCAAATTTATTATGTAAACGGAAATACGGCATATCCTTGCTCAGTGGCGATGGCGACGGCGCCGCAGCAATAGAAATAGTTTTGCGGCTCCTGAGGCACAGAAAAAAAAGGGGCAAAAAGAAGGAGAGAGCGGGAGATGCCAGCTAGAGCGGGAGTGGAAGCTGAAACTGGATGTGCAGTTGGAGTTGGAGGGCAAACTGCAGGAGCTGCCGTAGCTCGTAAATCGCATAAATTGTATAATTCTGGCCGGGTCATTGTTGTTGCAGTGGTTGTTTGTTGTTAGGTTTGTTGTTGTTGTTGTTGTGTTGTGTTATGTTGTCTGTTTTGTGAATTTGTTGCCAAATTGCGTTTGTAGGTGCTCCTTTGTTATGGACAGCGGCAACAGCAGCAGCAGCAGACACAGCGAAAATGAAACAATATGTTGTCCAGCAAGCGTTCACAAGGACCAGCGACCAGCTAACAACTCCTGCGGCTTCTTATCCTATTGAGCATTTTGGACACGTGCACGAGAACTGCTTCAGCTGCTTCGCCTGCTTCTGCTGCTTCTACTGCTGATGGCAGCGATAGTTAATTAATGACGGGATCAACACCTGCGACAAACAGACTTGCAGTCAGCAGCTTTGAATTGGCTTTGAATGAGTCAAGTTGATTGAATTTCTGCTTGCCAGTCAATTAACACTGCGCACCGCAAATATCGCTGCAAAAGCTCATTTAAATTCAGCCAAGTTTGCCGGCTAAACGCGGCGTATACACAATGGGAGATTCGGAGGGAGGAAGGATATATGCATAATAAAGTGTGCAGAAAAATTGACACAGAATTTAAAATACACAAATGCATAATAATTTATTTATTTTTTTATATTTTTGAAAATCAATATTTATAATAAAAGTCACAAGATATTTTCATATTTTAAAATCAATATTTATTTATATTTATTACATTTAACTACTCTATATATATATAAATTTGAGCATAAGTTGCAGACTTTATTTAACTCTATGAATCGTCAAAGGATTGCCATTTACTGCAGCCCTGTTGCCCGTTGTAATCGCAGTCAGCATCCCTGGTAAATTGTAAATTTTTGCACTTGATTTCATTGTGGTCGCCGGACGCATCAAATAGACAAAAGTTTGCCAGCCAAAAGGACGCCCATTGTAAATTTATGGCATTGAATTTATGTGCAACAAAGCGTGGCACATTGAGCCGACTAGGCTGCAGGCAACCCCCTGCCACAGCCGAAAGCAGATAAAAACCAAAAGTAAAAAAAACCAAAAGCAAAAAAACCAAAAGTGAAAAATTAAAAGTAAAAAATTATCATTATAGTCAGAGTCAGAAATCAATCGATGGAAACCTATACATTAATCTATGAGCTAAAAATAAGTATAAAATTGTTCTGATTGAGTTTTCTAGTTGCTGTTGATGTTGCTGAGTTGGTTGTAATTGAAATTAAAGCGCAATTGAAAGACAAAGTGGAAGAAAAACGCGTGTTAAATCGTTCAACACTTCTGCTTGGCCACGTCGAAGAAACACCCAAAAAAGCAGAATGGAGCCCATAATTCATACACCCAACGCACAAACACACACACACACACACACACACATGGATGTAACTGGCAAAATGTCTAAGAACACCAAAAGGAAATTGCAATGCATTAAGAAATAAGCAATTTGACTTGCAACAGCAGCAGCAAAAAAGCGCCAGAAGATCAGAGGCAGGATGTTGGATGCAGGACACAGGCCAGGACCCGGGGCCAAAGGCAGCCAAAATGTCGCGACTGGCGCAGTAAATGTTTGAGGCAAGGACACAGACGCACACAGCAGCCATGCCACTTGCCACCATCCTCCACCAAAAGAATGCCTGCGCTAAGTAGTTGCATTAAAACCAGCACAGCCAAAACGCAGAGACAGCAAACCCAAATCCAAACTCAACCGGCAAATGAAACAAATGCAAAGCAAATTTTGGGCACCTCCCCTTCGCCTACCACCCCCACCCCCTGCCTCTTGGTCTGATTTTTGGCAGGAGTTCAACTAACGTGTCGCGTTGTGGCAATAAATCATTCGTGTGTGCGTGTGTGTGTTGACGGCCTTAAAGCTGATACTCAAATACTAATTCAATTCAATAAAGTTCAATGAGATTCATCAATTTAACAGAGTATCGAACAGTTGTTAACTTTTGCATTTACGTTTCATTACATATCAATTTGAATTTAGCGCTTAAAAATATCTCGTGTACAGGCCATCTAGCGGCAAGGCTGGCGCCATCTATTGTTTGGAATGTGTGTGTGTGCGGGCAGTTGTTGCCAACTAAACAAATTTTAAATGCCAAATGATTGCATGGCGCTGCCAACTGATAGCGGTGCTATGGCAGCTGTTGCCAACTAAACAAATTTGAAATGCGAACAGATAGCAGTCGTTGACCAGCTGTTGCCAACTAAACAAATTTGGAATGCCAAACGATTGCATGGCGCTGCTAACTGTTAGCAGTGTTACGGCAGATGCGTTTAAACAGAGACGGTCACACCGTCGTTTTGCCGTCGTCCTCTTTGCTGAGCCATTCGCCGATGCAACATTCGTGAAATTTGCTAAAATTGTTACTTTTAACACTTGGACACTTGCCGCAGCTGCTGCAAACCTAAGCCGCGCAAATAATATACGTGGTGCTCGAGGCGCGACGCGTGTGTCTGTCTGCCTGCCCTAAAAGGCGGCTAACTCTCAACACCATTTTTGGGGGCGTGTTCGCAGCGACAAAAATGGAAAACGCATGCTTTGTGCTCAGATAAAAGGCCCAGCTGTGCGTCGGTCTCGCTCAACAACTTGCAACAAATTGTGCGTCTTGACTCGCAAACCAAAAAACCAACAACAACAACATAGCCAGCGACCGCAGACTTGCCACAACCAGGACAAAGGCGGTGGCTAACTGACAACAACAAACCCAACACGACACAAATACAAACGCAAAAAACAAACACAAACACAACCAAAAACAAAAAAAAAACCCCAACAACAACAACATGCACCCACTGCAAAGTAGTTAAATAATTCTGCCCTGTCTGCGCTTTATTTCCTCTTCATTATTCTTGTACTCGTTTTAATTTCAACAAGTTTTCTTTCTGTTCTCTCTCTCACACACTCATACTCTCTCTCTCGCTTTCCCCACATCATTTTTAAACCAATTCGACGCGCAGTTCTTTTTTCGTTACTACACAACAACAACATACACAAACAACACATACATTTACACTTTACTCACACACACACACGGAACACATACAGTGACAGTTGATTGCTGTGACGCAGCAGCCGCCACCAAAAAGCACCTGCAAAAAAAATTTCAAAAAAAAAAGAAAAAAAGCGGCACGAGACCAGCGACCGGCTCCCATTGCAGCTGTCAATAAAGAAGAAGCTGCCATAAAAGAAGAAGAAGAACAACAACAAACACACACTTGTTGCGAACGCAGCAAAAGGAAGTGTCAGAGGAGCAGTGAGCGAAAGAGACAAAGGAATAGGCAGGCTGACAGACAGCAGCTGTCCCTCAGTGTATAAAGTGCCTAAGCAGTTGGCAATTAACGTTCATTTTGCCGCAGTACTTACAACAACAAAACAACTCAAAGGTAAGCGAACAAATGTTTGTGCAAATGTTCGATTACCATTCATGACAATGCTAATTGAGAAACACCAAACGGTACCCGGCACACACACACACACACATACATATATACATATATATATATATGTATATACATCGCTGATAAGCTGGCGGCCTCTGTCTGATAAGACTAAATCACGATTTTCATGTGCGCGCACATTCAAATTAAACGCGACTGCAATCAAATGATAAAAAAATCAAGAATTATAACCCATGCGCCTTATCACATTTTTCGTCAATATGTATTTTCCAAAATGTGTGCAGCAACAACAGAACATCAGTCACTCTACTTACCCGACTTACCCTATCAAGAATATATATCTTTCAGATGGTCAAGGAGAAGCCAAACTCAACACGCATCTACGATAAGGATGGCTTCCGGCGACGTGCCGCCTGCATTTGCGTGCGCGCCGAGAACGAACAGGAGGTGAGTTTTAACTATGAAACGGATTCAATATATTCTTATTATTTTCAATATATGTTGCAGGTGCTCCTGGTGACCTCGTCACGCCGTCCCGAATTGTGGATTGTGCCCGGCGGCGGTGTCGAACCCGAAGAGGAGCCTTCGGTGACCGCTGTGCGTGAGGTGCTCGAGGAGGCGGGCGTTGTTGGCAGCCTGGGTCGCTGCTTGGGTGTCTTTGAGGTGAACTACAGCTAAAGACAGACCTGATTATTCAGTTATTAATTTGTTATTTATTATAGAATAACGATCACATGCATCGCACTGAGGTGTTTGTCATGAATGTGACCCAGGAGCTCGATGAATGGGAGGATTCGCGCAGCATTGGACGCAAACGGCAATGGTTCACCATTGATGATGCCTTGTCGCAGCTGGCGCTGCATAAACCCACCCAGCAGCACTATCTGATGCAGCTGCAACACTCGAAGACGCTGGAGAATGCCAATACGCCCGGTCGGGTGGTTAATGCCACGCATCCGCCCATATTGGCCAATTCTGCCTCGGCGGCTGCATCGCCCACAACGGCATAAAGACAAATACTTCGGAAGGAATATAATCACCTACACACTCACACTCTCATACACACACACATACACTACACCACACACGCACACACACCTATCTTCCACACCCACATTATGACATTTTTGAAATTTACAATTAGACAGGCAGTTAATTCATATTTTCGGTATGTTTAAATCATTTACCCTGCACCCGGTCTCCATTGCACTGACTTAGCAGTCCGCATCCTTTTCGAGTTTAGTTTAAGTCGAACGCTTCATTTATGTTTTTAGAAATTGTATTGAGAATCAGAGATGTATGTACTTTAAATATTAAAAACAAAAAAAGAAACCAAAACAAAACAAAAAAGGATTAAACATACATAAAAGTAACTAAATTAACAAACGAGAATTAAATCTACAAACATACATATAATAATTTTTGAGCGCATAGGGCACTTTTTGCAAAACGAATTACGTGTACTAACAAAAATTACGATATCTATTAGATTTTTCTACTCTTTTTTATAATTTACTCAGAAACATCTTGATTATTGTAATAAACAAATTGGAAATGGCTTTAAGGAAGCGCTAAAATTTATTAACTATGCTAAGCGGCCTAAAACAAAAACAAACAAAATAAAATTAAATATAAACAAAAAAATGAATATATATATATCAAAAAAGAAAGAACACCAACGAAATAATTTCGTTCTAAATCTGCCACAGTTTAACAAGTTAACAACCCGTGGGTAAACTTTGGTTGCAGATAAAACCCTAGAGAACTAAACAAATTAACAAAGTTGCCTATGCAAAATCGATTAAACACACAAAATATAAATATAAAAACAAGTTATATACCGTATGTGAACTTAATAGTCTAGCAGCGCCGATAACAAAACGTTAACTTATTGTAAAAAACATTAAAAAAAAAAACAAAAAGAAAATGATATGGAAATATAGTGAAGCCAGCAAACATCAAAAGAGGAAACCAATTAAACTCTGTTAACAATAAGATATGCATGTGCACGCTGTACTTTTCAAAAATACAAAGCAAACAAAACATATAAATCTAAAAACTTAAAATGTCAATGTGATAAGAGCTAATCAACACTTTTATGTAACTCTTTTTGAATACACTTACTTTTGGGCACTTTCGAAGACAAACATTTTAATTAAAGTTTTAACGCTCATTGATTGGGCAATTGATTTTCTATAAAATTTAAAATAAGTTACAGACGAAATACATTTTCATCGGCAAGCTAAACAATAGTGAAACAAATTGTTGCAATTAAACATTAATTTATGACAATTAAAAAACAAAAAAAAAAAAACGAAAATAAAAAAACACAAAACCAAAACTACAATTTAAAGCCACTTTATCTATCATGTATTAAAAAATTGTTTATTTATGTTAATTCTATATTTTTCTTCTTTTTTTTTGTATTAATTAAAACTAATTTCTGTAAAAATTCTACCAATTTTTGAGCAAAGCATCAGCAGAAGCTACCAATTCAACTACTTGTGCATTCTAGTCACCTAAACGCCTCCCTGCTGCTGCTGCTGCCTCAGCCGTGGACTCTCCGCCTCCACTTCAGCGTCAGCACCGGAGGCAGTGATCACCGCCTGAAGCAACTGCTTCAACTCATTGTAGAGCCTCAAGGCCAACTGTAGACTGGGAGCCAGGCGACGACCTGGCACCTGATGCTCCTTTGGCGGTTGCACACACATCTTAACCAGCTTCTGCACCGATCTGGGCAAACGGATCCCACTTAAGAGTCCCGGCTGAAATGTGCCGCTGCCCATAAGGATATGATCGCAAAATATTTGGAAGTTATTGTTCTGCTGCACATGTGTGCAAGCCTGTCGCTCCGCATCGCAGAGTCCGCGGCAGGAGTTGAAGTTGCAGTCCTGATTGGTGTGGCACTTGGCGCCATTGGAGATGCGCTTGTCCAAGTAACTCTCGACATAGATATGCTCAGCGGTTTGGTACTTGAGACGCCGGTCAGGCGTAAGGCCAAAGCGATTCACTTGCATCTTACACATTCGCAACGGCTCCGGCTTCATCTCCTCCAGCCGAAATATGTATTCCATAATGTTGAGTGCATGCTTCAAACGCTGCTGTCGATTTGAGGCGCTGCACGGTGTTGAATGAATGCTAGCTTAATCGAATATGATTCGTTATTTCTCAGTTGACTTACAGATACTGAATGATGCTGGGATTGGACTGGACAATGTCTAGGCCCTCTGTGGCATAGTAGGGGCCACAAGAGCCCAGCACCGCTGGAAACACGGACTCCTCATCAAAGAGCTTGCCCATCATATAATTGTTGTCCTTGAACAATCGCCAGAAGCTTACCATTTGCTGTGAGTTATTATCCGCTATCTCCTGATTAACCAATGCGCGTATCTACAAACCCCACGCGAATTTTAGTTACAAAACACTCCTACTTATCGTAAATAATGCATACCATATTATCATCTAAAGTTACGTTGTAGGCAAGTATTATGTGCAGCTTGACAATCTCGTGGAACTCCTCGATCTTTGGATAGATGGCATCTCCCTTACTGTTCGTCCAGCTCAAATCATCATCGTTGTGCTTAGCCAGCTACTTGCAAGTAAACATTGAGCTGGTAGTCATGACAACCCGTTAAACTAATGCCAAACTGACCTACCTTCACCGCATACATGTCTCCATTCTTTTCGGCCGTAAACAAAATAGTTTTCATGTCATTCAACGGACACTGGAAGTTATCAAAGCTTGACTGGCTGCCGCACAGCTCCTCGCAGAGCGATCCACTAAACTCGTGATGCTCATACTTTTGGCACTACAAAACGTTATACGGTTTTAACTATGCATTCAAATGCTCGTACGTTTTTTATTCACTGATTTTCTTACCATGTGCGTGAGACTTCGGTGCGACATGAGTTTGAAGCAGAAGGAGAGATTTAGGAAAGCATAGCTGAAGATGCCAACGGCCAGCAGCACTGCAATTAGAACCGTACGCTGCATCCCTAAGCGAAATCTGCGACGCAATGCAGTCAACATATTATATATTGTAATTTAAAAATTCATCTTTCGCTCAGGTTGTCTTCTGCATTGTCCACTTGAGGTATATACACCAAAGGATAGGCAAAACTGTTCGTGGCAAATAGTTTGACATTTTTGTGGGCATGCGCAATGCATATTTAAGGAATGTTACTGTGGGAGTGGCGATAAACTCAGGAACTTATCGATATATATATTTTTCCCTCCCTTTTTTGTAAAAGCTTTTAACATATTTCACAACTTCTGAAGACGTCCTTAGGCTAATCGCACATATTTAAAAAATAACTTACATACGATAAACAGTTGCATACTTAAGGGGGATGTGCGTAAAGCTTAATTCAATATCGTAGCTAAGATGCAGGTATGTGTCTAAATTAGGGTAGGTGTTTGTCATGGATGAGCTTGAAGGCTTGCATCTTTGTTAAGATTTTACAATGAGGGCTCAGCACATTCATCACACTTTTTTAAAGCCTGGATATGCTTTTATTCTAAAATATGTATGTCTTAATCGGGCTATGGAACCACTATATTATAACGCGGCCTCAGAAAATATCAGTCAAATGGTTTTTAATATTACTATTATATCCCATATTCCATTTGAGAACTATATTTTGTTAATAGGGTAATTTTATTTATATTGTCATTAATTGCTGTGGAACAATAAAAAGACATTTTATGCACAAACTTCAAAAAATGTAATGAAAGCTCGAATTTCTTTTATTGATTTTATTTTCAAAATTTGACTGCATTTTTTGAAACAAACTGTCTATAATTGCATTAAATAAACGATTGTTTTTATCAAATACAAGTCTTTCTGATGATTTTGTCTTACTTTAACATGTTAGCAACATCAATTTATTTATTTGTCATTAATTTTTGGCAATTACTTTAGCTACCGTTTGTGTTGCATACTTGTGGGCGTCTTCTGCTTTGCAATCAACTAAGATATGAACTCTTGCCTTAATCATTATTTAAAATGGAAGAGGCATAATGTTGATTTGCACAAAAATTTATTCAAAGATTATCTAAAATCAAAATGGGTGTCTCAAAATGATATAGAAAACGAAGTTCTAATGAATCAAAACCTGTGCGGGCAAAAGGTACTTGCCTCCCTCGGTTATGCGATTGACATAATTGCCGGACAATGTCAGAGCTCGATTGCTATTATAGATGCTCTGCAGTCTTTGATCCAAATGGATATCGTAGACCTCATTGGTTTGCACTGTTAGGTATTCAATAAGGGGATCCCTGTTCGTTGGCCACACGGCTATGGTCCCAATAATCTGCATGTCTTGCGGCTTAACGCTGGTCAGCCAAATTAGAAAGATTTCGGTATCGGGACCACCAATGGAAGACTTGGTAGACTGCATTAAATAGTTATTGTTGGCCGCAAGGAACTCGGGCATATGCAAACGCGCAGTCATTACGAGCACGGGGAATAGATTGGGTAATTTGGAATTGCAATTCTTGTCGTTGAACTTGTCATTCACAAAGTAGACCATGTTGCATTTGGTGTTATTCAGCAGCGTGACGCGTGTGTCCAAATAGAAGGTCCTCGCCCGACCAGGATAAATACGCTCAATGGGCAGCGATGGATGCTCCAGCATCAAGTGATTTTTGAACTCCGAGATATGAAACATCCGCCCGCAATCGACATGGGGGCACAAAATGGGCAAACGGCAAAATTTGAGCGGTCGCAACATATTCGGTTGTTTGATTTGCAGCAGATTGATCAGCTCTTTGGAGTGGCAGGGCACTGTGCTGAATTGTGCTGGCGGTGGATCATCGCGCTTTGTTTGATCCGATTTATTTAATGCCTGCAGCAGCTGTTGTGGATCCTGGGCAAAACTGCAGAATGTGGCTCGCTGCACAGTGGACACCAAAAGGCTCAGATTACTAGTGACGCGCATTGGTTGCGTAATTAAGGTGTCAGTCCTTTCTTCAAATTTAATTGAATGCATCGTATCATTATTTGTGTTGTACCCTATTAAAGAGAGAGATTCCGACTCTTGTAGGCTGGCATCATGCTCACTTTCGATATGTGTTTCGCTCAGTTCAATATCCGTTTCACTGACTGGCGGAGCAGATGGCTGGAAGCCGTATTCACACTCGTTTTCATCCAATTCGTTAAAGGGGCACTCAACTTGTTGTGAGTTCTCCTGCAGCGTTGCTAATATGCTCTCCAGTCTTTGTTTATCAATCTGATCCAATTTATCATTCTTATTCTTTAGCTGCCTTTCCAAATCGCTTTCCAACTGCTTGAAGGGTGGTGGAGGTGGTCGAATCGGTCCACCACCTTGTTGCCGTTCAACGGCAGGCTTCAATTCCATATTACGCTGTCGTTCCAGATCGTCCAACTCCGCCTTGACCCGGTTGCATTCACCCTCGACACGGCGACGTATGCGATTCCACTCGCACACCAGACTCTGCTTTTCAAGCATTTTTTGGTTGAGTTCCTTCTTTAGAGCGTCCTGCTCCATCTCCCTAATGTCTCTGGCCACCTCGTACATGGTTAGCCTGTTTGTGGCAACTTCATCATCTAATTTTCTCTCGTCGCAAGTCTTTGCAACTTTCACCTCTCCTTTATAGGCACTGTTGACAAGCAGTTGATTCACTTGTCGTTGTACCTCTTCTTGCCACGGATTTTGCATCTTGTCCATGGGCGCCTTTCGCATATACTGGAGAGGCACTGTAGGTTCATCCTCTAGATCTTTCAGGTCATTGCGCTGCCCGGCAGAATGTGTTGCATCTCGTTCATCCAGCTGCACATTTTTGTTCGACTTTAGGGCGCCCAATGCGGTCAGATTCCTGATATGACATCGTCGATGATCCGCCTGGTGCAGTTTGTGAAGTGGCTCTCGAACCGTCGACTTGGATCGCTGTTCGACATATTGATTACGTCGACGAGCGCGATCAGCGCTGTGGGAGCGCAACTGCTGATCCAAATTGCGTGGATATTGCGTTGGTATCGCACCCAATGACTCTTGCCTAAAAAATTTATCTACCTCATTTTGTATATGGCGATCTAATGGAGTATTCATATTCGAATCGTTTTGATTCGCTCTCGCATTTCTTCGGGGTCTTTGCAAACTATTCGCAGTTGCCTCGAGTGCGGAGTTGGCAAACTTCCTTTTGGGCTGCTCCTGCAGATATTGGCTGGGCTCGTTGCTATTGTCAGATTTGAGGAAAAACCGCAAAGCTTCACATTTTGAGCACCAATCGGAGATGCCTTCCATGTAGCCACTCTCTTGTTGACGCCGCCGGCTGCGGAACTCAAATTCCGGATTACTGCCAAGCTCTGGCTTCTTCAAGCCGCATATCGTACACATATACATTTTGGAGTTATCTATCAAATCTAAAATAATATGAAATATTTTTACAAATTTAAAAAGAAAAAACAAACACTACCCAAATACAACTACAACAAATATTATTGAAAACGAAAGCTAAGAATTAAATATTTTATTGCTTACGATTTTGAAGGCAACTTGACGAGTAGAATTTGCTTGTCATGTTTGCTATGTGCCTAAAGCTAAGATTAGATATTAAATTTGATTGCGCTACGATTGTTTGTATAAAAAATATTTACAAATTATGCAGATTGATTAGCCAGTCATTTTAAAGCCCATTCACCTGCTAAGTTCACATGATGCTGACCCACTCCCTCCAGCGCACACTCAGACGTCACTTGTTGCCCACGTGTTGACCGTGAAATTTGGATGTGCGACAAGGCAAAGACAGTGCAGAAAAGTACAACCGAAATAAGTGAAATAATGTGAAACTTCAAGGTAATATTGTAGCAGGCAAATCTCTAGTTTGCTCCAGTTGCCATGCCCCCAGTCCGAAAATCTTGAGAGCCATTGAAATTGTCAAACGCCCTCCATTAAGAGGCTGTGTTGGCCAAAAAATCGGCTTTAGCCGCGACCAATTGAGTTTTGGATCGGTATACGGTACACTTGCTGTGCTCTGTCTCGCTGGCCAGTATTTATTTTGTTGACTTTGGGCGATGATTCAGCAGCGTTCGCATGTCTGATTATAAGATGCGCTAAAGAGCGTTAAATATATATGAATTTACACGCACTGAAGTTAAATAACGGAACATGGCATCAGGCCAAGTTAAATATTGAAACACTCACACAATCGAAGGTCATTGCAAGATCGTATAAATACTCCGAGTGCCATCTGGTCAGCTATCAAACGCTACACAACCAACAACCAACCAACACAGACAACATGGTAAGTGAACGGATCAACAAGCAGATCGACAAGCAGCAAACACTAAATGGATTTATCCTAGCAGAGAATCAGCTTCGTAACACTTTTTGCCTTCCTGGCTCTGGCTGCTGCGGATGTCTCGCATCTGACCAGCAGCTATTTGCCGCCGCCGAGGCCGGAGCAACTGGAGCACATGAGCATCGAACGGCACCAGTTGCGCGAACTGCCCGAGCAGGTCTTCTATATGCATGATAACGGGCAGATGGCTGACATGGATATGTCGCCCAGTGGCCAGTTGACTCCACCAGCTATGCCACAAGCGGAGCAAATGCTAGCCATGCGCTACTTGCCCCCTGCTGAGGCAGTTCAGCAAGCCATGCCTGACACACGCTATCTGCCTCCAGCTCAACCAGCAGCTATGCCCACCACTCGTTATCTGCCCCCCGCTCAGGTAATCCAACGCGCCCAACCTATGCCGGAAATGGAACCCATGCCCGAAATGATGGTTATGCCAGCTATGGAGCCTGACACTCAGCCCCAAGATGCCCCAGATATGCGTTACCTGCCGCCCGCCCAACAACAGGCCGAGCAGCCCCAGTTCATCTATCAACAATACCAACAGCAGCAGCAGCAGCAACTGCCGGTGCAGGAGCAGCAGATGCCCTACATTCTGGACGTGCAGCAGCCTATGGCACCATCGGATGCTGAGACTCCGACCTTTGAGGCAGAGCCAGCTCATGAGCTGCGCAACGATGGCTACCATTACAAGCAAGCTGTGCAAGAGCAGCGTCTGAGGCATTAGATCACCGCTTGACTCACGGGCTGACTTCAACCCAATTAGTCATTTGAATGTTGTTAAATGTTTACTTAGTATTAAAAGCTTGATTAAAAAGTATTTGAACTAAACTTAAATTGAATTAACTCAAGTATATTATAGATAATCAAACTGATAGATGCCATCAGATATATAAAAGATTTCAAAGGGATTAGTCCTTGCATTTATTACTTATTACAAAACCATTTTATAAAAAATCGCTATTAACTAAATATCAAACACAGCCTCTCACATAGAATACTCGAAGATCATCGCAACTTATTTATCCTGATCTTCGTCGCCCGCATCACCCTCCTCCTCCTCGTTCTCAACAGTGGCGCCCTCACGCAACATTTCCACCTTGTGGATGCTAAAGTCAATGTTGTAGAAGGGTACATTTAGGGTGACCACAATGCAGTAGAGCAGCACTTGGAGATGCCGTGTGCGTAGTAGATATGAGGCGCCCTGTTGTTTCGGGAACAGTGGTTGATCCTTCTCCTGGCAATCGTACATAAAGTAACCACCGTCGTGACCCGGACAGAAACCAATTGCCAACGCCCGCTTCCTCACCATCACAATGCCGAATTGATAATGACTGAAGAAGTAGATCAGCGCCTCGGAGAGATTCATGCGATTGAAGGTAGGAACGCGATACAGTTTGCCAAAACAAACATGCTCGATGTGCACCACAAAGTTTATGGTCTCCAGCGCGCAGTCAATGTTTAGATTCTCCACGGAGAACTCGTAGTCCTCTTTAGTTATTTGACTGACGCTCTCTTTGAAGTATTTGGTGCCACTGACAACAATCGTGTCCAGCAGTTGAGCGCTCCAGTCCATCAGGTTATAGACGCTTGCCGCACAGCATGCAATCACATAGATAGCAAGATATTGACGTCCACGCACCCCGTCCTCAAAGACAGGTGCCTCAGGATGAAGATTACCCCAAAGCGACCAGAGACGTCCATCAATCTCAATGTCATATTTCTTTAGCTTGCTCAAGGGCAAATTTCGATATTTACCAGCTGTGTTACGTCGATTCATACGGCTCCACACAGGCAGACAGTTCTCCAGCTCTAGCCAGCCAAGAGATTCATTCGTGGCACAAATCTCATACTCAGGACGTCCATACTGTCGACTCGAGCACGTCATCGGTATGGACAGATCAGTCAAAAGCTGCAGGATGCGTGCATTGGGTGCTGCCTTCTTATAGGAGAGCACATCGACGACGTAGAACATAAACTGATTCTGCTCCTTCCAGTCTGGCTGGGCACAGCGTTTGTCCATATACTTGAGCATGTTGTCCACATCGGCGAACAGCACCCAGGAGGCTGTGTTGCGTTCCGGATAACGTTTGGGTCCCTTCGGACACTTCTTTTTCTTTTTCTTGCCATCGCCCTCCTCGTCACCACCACCAGCACCATTAGCATCATCATCCGCCTCTTCCTCCTCCTCGCCGGGCTTATCCATGCTGGCATATGGATCAAATAAATGATAGAACTCATCGTGGTACAAGGCAAAGCAACCGTTGGGCGTAAATATCATCAGATATTTGCGAGTATTCAGCAGTTTCTCCAGCTTCTTCTTAAAGATAACAAGAGCTGCTTCTGTGGAAAGTGGAGTTGTCGGTTTTGGTGCCGGCGTCCACATACCTATCGGCTCCAGAATGCGTATCCAGATGTCAAATTCGTACTCATCGATCGTGACATGGCGTACAACGCGCTCAAACACCGACTCCAGATCACAGACACGCGCCGCAATCGATTTGGCATGAATGATTACTCGATCGATGCGATACGAATTCCAGCGATTCAGCGGACGCAGCGAGACGCTCAGGATGGCCAAAGCGCAGGCGAAGTAGCAGGGTTTGATTTCCTTGAAGCTGCCATCGGCACGATTCTCTAGATTCATGCTGCCCTGAATCTTAAAGTTGCAATCCTTCTCGCGCATGCGATACCCATAGAGGATGGGGCGTGGCTTGTATGCCTTGCGTATCTCTTTGGGCAGACGTTTGCCGGGCTTGTGCTTCAGCTCGATTTCCTCTTCGCCCTCCTCTTCCTCCTCCATTCCCCAGAAGAACTCACCCTCCTCGCCCATCCCCTCGTCCAATCCCAGATCCCTATACTCGGCTGTGGAAATATTGTTAATTTAATAAATGTGTTATGACTTTGATGGATATTCCAAAAGCAACTTACGTTTGCAAATTTTACTATCCTCATGCTTCTGCTTGGCCGCCAGAAAGTCTTGAGTGCGTTTGTTCTCTTTCTTCAGCTCCTCGTCGATGTAGCGCAACTTCTCCAGTCGCTGCTTGCGCAACCTCTCTTTGCGTGCCTTCTCAGCATTGTACTCGTTATCCTCATCCGTCTTTGGCCAGCGTCGGAAGCGACCTTCGATATTATTGTCCACAATCTTAATAGCGGCCACAATGTAATTCATCACCGAACAGCCCTGCGGATTGCAGCCAAACTCAATCCGTCGTATCAGCGAGTCAAGCTCGATGAAGCGCATCATGCAGGCGGGTCCCGATCCCCCCTTGCGATAGCCGATGGCATTGCAGGGAAATCCAATGAACATGTAAAGCAAATTGTAGCGCTTGAATATCACACAGGAGAAATGCTGACAAACGACCATCACGCGATTGTTATTGATGAGCAGCTCAAGCAGGTCCTGCCTCAGCGACGATTGCACTGAGGACTTGTATACCTCGGGCACAACTAGCGAGAAATTGCTGTTGCCAACGGAAATATCTGGCAGCTTCTTGTTCAGCAGACAGGCGAGGATTAGCTCGTAATTCTGATACTCTTCGCCGAATTTGTTAACTGAGTAGATGCAGAACTCGATGACGTCGGCGTTCCACGTGGATACCTTAAATTTGGCGGATGCAGCGATGGCCACCAGAGCAGCTAAAATGCCGCCCAGCTTCGTCATTTCAGCATCCAATTGTGGCAGCTTTGTAGTTCCCATAATGATGTAAGCACCATCGTGCAGCGTCTGGTAATTTGACTTGAGCTCCAGCTCCTCCTCAATGGTTAGCACACGTTTCAGATCGGGTTCCTCCTCTTCGCCCAGTTCGTAGCCCCGCTTAATCTTGAGGCGCAAGGCACGCAGATTTTCCTTGTCCGTTGCCAGCAGTATCTTCTGTCCTGGCCGGTACAACTCGGGGCGAGCAAGTCTCGGATCAGGCAGTTCCTTAATAATACCATTAATAATGTCAAGAATCAGTTCCTCAATAAACTCATGCTCGTCCTTTGCGGGTATCCGTTCCTCCTCCGGAATGCTTTCGATGCTCTTCTTCTGCGCCAGCTCCTTTTCAGGCGGCTCATCGTCATATGTGGGCAAACCCATTTGCAGTGCTGGGAACTTATTCGGCTGCTCCGACATCACCTGTAACGGTCGAATGCAGCCCGTTCTAATGCCATGGATAAAGAACTTGCCACCGCGACGCATCTTCAGTGCATTCTGGTACAAGATGCGCACAAACGAATCGAATGTGGTGTGCATTTGCAATACGGCCATTCCCCTGATGCTATAATCATCGGGATCGACAACCATACCGATGCGGTTACGACGAAACGGATCGAATGCATAAAAGAATTCACGATCCCGCCAAACGGCCAGTACAGAGTTGTCAATCTGGAGCAAGGCAGCAGGCCACTCGGGCTTCTCGAACAGATGCTGGAGCGCGTGGGTTAACTGCGATTCCAGATAGGATTTACAGTCGGTCACGTGGCCAGTGATCATGAAGGGATACTTGCGCACCGTTGCCTTAAAGGCGCCCATCAGAAACATCTCTGGCAAATCGACGATATTTAATTCCGGCTTCTTCTTCTTCCAGCGCTTGCCATCCAACCGAAATTTCTTACGCAGCGTTTTGTAATACGCAATTCCATATCGAATGATATCATCGATGGTCATGGGTCGCCAGAGCTTCGCCAGCTCGAATTCCGAATAGATGAGCGCAATGAGCGAGACAACCAGCGATGCATTCTTCTCGTTGCCAGAAATGGGCTGTTGTATGCCACTATTTCCAGCGGTCTTCACCGCAAAATTCTCATTGACCACAGCCCACAATTTGTGATAGTGATAAAGTGTGTCCTTGCGTATTTGCGGCTCCTTCAGCTTGCCATACTGTGTGAGTGATATTTCATAAATGTTAAACTCATCGTTCTCGGTGAGATCACTGAACTTGGTTATTAAGTGCACCAGATGCTCCATGTAACGTGTCGCCATCAGCGAGCACATGCCATCCGGGAAGTCCCGCTGGCACTGTTCATTGCGTCCATTGGGATCGAAGATAAAGAATGAGTCCACGCAACGTTTCCAGATCAACAGAAACATATCGCGTGAGGTGAAAATGCAGGCATTATATTGTGAAAAGAACAGAGAAAGTGCCTTATAGACATTGGGCTCCCTCTTGAATTGACCCGTAAAGTGAATTTTTATTTTTACAGCTGCCTTACGTTCCATTACCTGCGGTAATATGTCAAAGTCATTGTCCTTTGACTTATAATTAAGCTTTATGCTCTTCTTTGTTAGGGACACACCGCGTTTCAGTATGCCATCCATGGTGCCAGCTGTCCAGAAATCTGGATTCACTTCATATGTCTCCACAAAGGCTATGATAATTGCAGCAATTTCGCTGGGTCGATAATAATATCTACGAAACGGGATAAGCGCCATTATAACCACTGTAACCACATGTACATGAAATTGTAACTTACCTTTCGCGAAATGGTTCCACTTTCGGTTCGGGATAAATGTTTCGATTGCCGAAGACAATTTCGACTGTAAATGTTTTCTCTAGTTGCGTGGGTATATTATAGACGGTAAGTCCGGCGTCGTGAGCTGTGTTTACACAGATCTGATATCAATTAGTGGTCATGTTCTGCGAAATGATAAGAGTTTGTATACAAACACACCGTATTTGGGTAGAGCAGCTGTTATAAATTCTTCATCCAAGTCAATTTCACGTCTCTGCAAGCCTACATTCCAGGTCCACAAATCTTGTGGATTGCAACCCTCGATAATATCGTAGGTTCGCAAATTTTCACCCTCTAAACCCTCTTGAATGACACGTGGATTATACGATGGAAATGGCAACTCTTCCAGAGGTCCAACCTCGGTTTCATTCAAATAAATGCGACTCTTTGGGCGTTTCAATTCAAGCTAAGGACGAGTATGTGCAACAGATGAGTTCAAATTCAACAAGCATAAACACAAAACTACTTTATTAACAATTCCAATAAAATTATGGCTGTAAATTATTTAAAATTGCCATCAAGTGAATTTTAGAGAAAGAATTTCGACTAACAATCGTATTTCCAATTTAAAATGCAGTATTTATCTAGAAGCCAAGCCAGGTGCTATTACAACGATATGCACAATTGCATAAACACTCCTTTACTCATAGTTTTGACGTATTTGATTGAGTTTAAAAGCAGTTTCTTGAGTCGAAATTCAAGAAGAATTTTGTAGAACGGAGTTTAACAAAACCCAATTGCTATATTTAGATGCCCAAAATGAATAACTCGTACACATTACATTTATATTTTTATGAGTGTTTTATTTATTAATTTCAGTCAATATTTTGTTTTATTTTATAATTTTCAATGCTTAGCATTGTTATGCGCTTGAGACCGGATGGGTTTGTCTTGGCACAGCGGCATTTGTAGCTAATTAAAGTAAATTGAGTGCGGTTGTTACGCATACGCCACCTCGGCTGTGACTCGACAGCAGTTTTGCCCCCCCACAGCTGCATAAACTTTGCAAAAAACATACAAAAAAAAACCAACAAAAAATCAAGAAGCCATAACAAACTGAACTAGAAGACAGCTTTATGCATTTAGCAGACCATATGGTAAGTAATCGCAAAATACATTGTGCTTTTACTTGGCCGAGTCTCTCCTGCTGGGATTCATATTATTATGTCTTTTTTTTTGTTCTTTGCCTGGCCTGGCCAGTCAAGCACATTTATGGGCGAGCTAATGCGACATTTCAAGTTGCAAACGCTGAAAATAGCACGCATACGCCACGGATGCCGGCATGAACGCGCCTATAAATACGTAACATACACACAATTGTATATATCCGTATATAAAATGTACGTACGCATGTCGTATATAGAGCTAAATATGGAGGCCAAGCCCAGAGCCAATCCATGTCGCACTCAACGTTATTACGACGGACTATTGAAGTTAGTAAGCGGCATAAAGTAAGCACGAAATGCCAACTAGACTGGCTAACTATAGCTATACACTCAACTGTCTCTATGTGTGTCTGTCTCTCTGTGTGTGTGTGTGTGTGTGTCTGTGCTGAGAGTGTATGTGTGAGTGCCTCTATGGCTGGCTGGCCACGCCGACGGCCACAAAACAGCGGCGCACAGAGCAGTAAACAACGAACAGCGCTTAGTGCCACATCACGAATCTTATCGCAAGCGCACGAATGCCAGAAACAGCAACAGCGGCAACAACACCAAACCAAACCAAAAACCCGACAAACTCGAGCCGAGCGTAGGTCGGCTGCAGAACAAACAAGTCATCTAACAAATAAAAATACGAAAGAAAAAAAAACATCCAAAGAAAAAAAGAAACAGCAGCAACAGCAGCGGCTAGCAAAAGCAACACTAGCACTGGAATTGCCAGCTATAGCCAAGTGAACGAGCACTTATAGCATACGACGACGACGACGTCAACAAATACGACAACGTTGTGCGATACTAATACCAGCAAACAACGTAGTATAGCAAAAGCAACAACAGCAACAGCAGGCAGCAACAACAGCAGGCAGCAACAACAGCAGGCAGCAACAACAACAGCAGCAACTACGACCACACAACCCTCTCAACTTTAAATGCCGCTGACGCGAGAGCTGGCAAAATGTCAAACCTGGTACGTAAGCATTACACTATGCATGACGCAAGAAGAAGAGGGTAAGGTGGGCGGGCAGTCAGGAGTCGGCAGAGGCTGAGAAAATTACAGGTGTTTCAATTGCATATTTATGCTGTAAGTCGAACAGCAATTGAGTCGTCACTTTAAATTTACCCCCTTAAATAAATCAATTAAAATACACAAAATCAATAAATCGTTGGCCACAAATTAAACAAGAGCTCTGCACATAAAAATAACTATACAATTATTAAATTTGTTTGTGTTTGTGTGTGGCAGCTGCGTGTGCTGCAGCCTGATTTCAAGTTCAGCAAGGAACAGGAGGCGAAACGGAGCCACATCAGCACAGCTCCAACTTAATAACATATGCGACTGACTGTGTGCTGTTTAAGTAGTTGTATGTTGTATGTTGTATGCTTGTGTGTGTTGAGTATATGCACATGCCATTAAGACGCTGAAGTTGCATAAAAGCCAAGCCAAGCACACAAAAGAAGCCCATTGCATGCAATAAAGACTTGGTGGCCAGGTGTGCGCTGTCACTTTTACGCTTTTATTTCTTTTTTTGTTTTTGATTTTTTGTGAGCAGCAAGTTGGCAAAGTTTTCAAACGAGCGGCCATAACCCAACATAAGGCACACATAACCAACACACACACTCACACCAACACACACACAGAGAGACGCCACAACAGAATGAAATAGACAGCAGGCAAACAAGCGACGTCAAAGTAAAGCGCAAAACGAGCAATGGCAGCTGCAGTGGCGTCGCCCATTTAATTGAAAAGGGTCAAGGAGACAGCAAAGAATAAGCTGTAATTAGCAAAGCATGTGCTATCACAATTTTTAACTGTAGCTTATAAAAAGGATCGCTTTAATTAAATAAATGCTTTTCATTTGACATTAGTGGCATTCAGCTGCTCAAACCGCCTGTGAAGGCGCACTCAGATAAGGCGCTCTTAATAAACGCCCCATAAAACATTGAAGCGGAATTTATCAGTATCAATAAAATTATTTTGTGCTCCAAGTTTAAAGAGCACATACATTCTAATTGTAGTATATTTCACGTTGTCTTATCTCAAAAAAAAATTGGAAAAGGTAATTAGCTTAACGCCACACAGAAACAAAAAAACTTGTCAAAATTCTATGGATCTAATAATAAAAGCTAAACTTGTTCAAATCAAAATGCCATATAAATATGGAGTTATGTATAATATATATATGAGATCTCATAATGAGCAAATAAACCACCGCCTACGCCACTGATCATTGAAACATAACAAAACAACACGCCTAAAAGGAAATCAAGAACGAAACATGTAACTAACAATAACAGCAAACGAAATTAAGCAGCAGCCACGCCGACAGCGGACGGCGACGCTGGCGTCAACGTCGCTTGGCTTTTGCATAGAAACGAATGCAATGCGAAGAGCGACAACTGCAAATGCCGTTTATGGTGTGCGTGTGTGTATGTGTGTGTGTATGCATTTGTGAGTGAAGCAGCTGCTGCTGCTGCTGTGTGCTCCTCGCTTTAACCGCCCTCCCGCAGAACTAGTTCAGAACTACTAGTTACTTAACTAGCACGCAGTACACTTTTCAATGGCGTTGTCCTAGATATATTTAAACATTTAAACACCGTTTAAAATTACTATACAGTAAAATTAAAAAAGAGTCTGCTATCCTTTTCTAACACACACACGCATATAGGCAAGTATTAACATTAGTGCGCTGCTGTTGCCACAACAAAAGCAACGCACTCACTCACACAAACACACACACATACATGCGACAACCAGCCGCCCTGTGCATAGCGAACCGTTTTTATTTCATATGGCAACGGGGCAACAGCAACAACAACAGCAACGGCTGCGAAACATACGGCAAAGCACCTGAAACCGAAAAACAGTGCACAAGTGTTACTCAGCGGCCAAGCACGCGTGTAAAAATGTCAGCAGCAGTAACAACAACAACAACAGCAATAAAGGCAGTCGGCAATTGAAATTGAAAGCGAATGCATAATAAAAAACAAACAAAGCGGAGCAAAGTAAAAATCAAACTGCTGGCAAACGCATTAAGGCTTAATTGAAGCGCATTTGCATTATTATTTTTATATTGTTACAAATGCTTTATTTTCTATTTGCGCAGCATTAAAAGGAGTCGCAGCAGCAGTGCAAAGAGAACACTTGCGTTCCAAGAGAGAGAGTGAGAGAGAGAGAGCAAGATACAGAGACAGCAAAAGCGCAATTGGCTTTTTAGCAGTTTGAGCTTTTATTCTGAGGACGCTGCGCAGCTGTTGACGAACACGAAGCAGACGCAAAGAAGAAGAGTGAAATTTGTAGCAACTGCTTTCGGCGCATCAGCTTAGCAGCCATGGACACTGCAGCGGCTGAGGCAGCGACAGCGGCAGCATCAGCAACCACAAAAAAAGGCAACAACAAGAAAGGGGTAAGTTGAAATTTCTCACACAATTTTCTGTTAACTTGGCCTTTAAGCTGGACGGGGGTTGATTTGTTATGCGTTGTTGCCTATGACGCACACAGACACACACGCACTCGCACATTCGTAAGACAAACACTTAAGCGCAGTGGCATATCCTGTAATATTATAAAGGGGCATATTTGGTATCAAGTGAGACATAAAAATAAAAAATAAATATTGATTGATTACAATTAATCTATTTATAAGAGTAGCTGACAATTTTTGATGAAAATAAGAAATTTGAGTGTTGAAGCAGTGCTGAATTTTTATATTCCTTTAATCTTTAATGGGAAATCTTACGATTCATACCTATTATACATATGTACATAATATATACATTTCGCTAATGGTCTCTGTTATTCAATTTAGGCCAAGGCCAAGGGAAAGAAGCGTCGCAATGAGCGCAACATTTTGACTTTCTACGAGAAAATTGCCGTTATACGTTACTATGATGAAACAAATATATCTCGAAATAGCCTGGCGAAAATGTTTCACTGCTGCACAACCCAAATACGTCGCATCCTGGATAAGAAACGCGAACTGCTGCAGCAGCTGGAGACGCTCAGCGAAACGGATGCGTCCATCATTATTGAGGAGATGACGCGCAAACGTCGCAAATTTGAGATGAGTGCCATCAGTTTTCTACTGCACGAATGGGTGGAGCGCTGTCGCCAGCTGTGCCTTGGAGTGACCATAAGGAACCACACCCTGAAGGAGACGGCGCTCAAGATGGCAGCGGTGTTGAAGCTGCCAGCGTTTAGGCCATCCTATCGCTGGCTGAATCGCTTTCGTAGCAAATACAAATACGAGGAGGACGAATTGGGCTATACGGGCGCCAGTCCGGTAGCAAGTGAGCTGCCGGTGGAGCAGATCATAGTGGAGTTCAAGCATGCGCTGCCCAACTTCATGCAGAAGGAGCTAATCGACATGGATGTGAATGCCACGCTGAATATGCCTGCGCCCGAATTGGTCAATTTATCGAGTGACAACAGTGAAATATCTGAGGGGGAGCTGGACGACGATGGTGTCGAAATGGTCACCTGTGAGCCCAGTGTGCTGCCCTCGCCAGCCAGCACATCCGATGGCGAGGAAGAACAGCAGCAGATGGGAGATCCTTCGATTGGTCTACTCATGAATGCGAGCACCTGCACGTTGCTGAGCAGCGTTTTCCCCCATCTGGCGATAATACATCAGTTCGCGCTGATGAACTCGGATGTGCAGGCATTGGAGCTGATCTCACAGCTGGGCGTACACATGCAGCAGCAGGCAACCAATGGCAACTATCATGCCCTAACCGTGCACCCAAATGGTGATGCAGCACTGCCACCAGCAGAATTGCCACCCGGCAGCATTTTAGCGGACATCGATGATATTGAATTAATTGAATAGTTTGTAATAGTATATACATATATAAATTAAATTGTATGCAACTTATTTGTATAGTTAAAGTCCTGTCTTAAATTTAGTCACTTACCATGCGCTTGTCGGGAATTATGATCATATCGGAGCTGCATTCGGGTGTCGCCGGCTGTGGCTTCACTTCGGACTCCTCCTCGTCGTTGCCTTCATCTTCATCGGCAGCCTCCTCTTCCTCTTCGTCGGCTTCCATGGGATTGTCGAGCGCGATGAGATCTTTGGGGCACGTTTTATCGAGACGTGCATCGTGCTCCACAAGGCCAGCATCTGTTTGGGACATAATGAGGCGTTCCCGCATCTCGGCGTTCAGCTTCAGCTCGGCCGGCGTTCTTTGCGGGATTATGCACATGGTGAACTCATCGTAGAGATCGCAGCGTTTCTTGTAGGGATGGGCGAAGCGGGATTCCTCTGCTTTCTGGTGCAGTCGGCGCAGCTCATCCTCGATGGTCAACACATGTGTAATTGTGGAGTTGGGCGGCTTTTTGAGGCACACACGATTGCGAGGAGGACAATTCTCCACCTTCCACTCGGTGGTGACGTCATCGCCCATGTAGGTGCGCACCGCATAGGGATTCTGTGAGGGACTCGCGTCCGCATTGACTTCAACAAATTTCTTGAGCATTGTGAACTATTAATTTTGCGCATATGTAAATAAAAAATGAGGTACACCAAAAATTTAGTATTACGGCACGTTGTGCAAAAAAAAAAAAATAGAACCACCCACGATTAACTCGAAATAGTTTTGTAAACTAACGATAATAACTGTAGTTAAAGGCCTACTACAAATTTTGGCGGCTTTAAATCGTAAACACGGCCAGACAGTCAAAAACATTTAGAATGCTGCACAGCCTGCATATCGATACTGTCAAAATATATCGCATTACCGCCACACAAATTTATCGAAGAATATTTTGGCATTTAACTATTAATTATATTACTTTGGTGTTGCTTTTATATTGATGAGCATGACTTTAAACTTAATTATTGCCCATTTCATAGAAATTTGGCTCGAATACATGACAACAGAACCAAATGAATATTCGATATGCTAGTTAACAGCTGTGCTCTGTTATGCTTTCTTTTACAGATTAGCAGAATTTAGAATTGCAACTTTACTCATTGTTATTTGAAGCATAACTCAACTTGTTGTTATTAAGTATCACATACAAAATTTTAAACGAATTTTCTAAATGAGATACTTGCATTCACTTGAGATAATATAACAAAGAATGTCAAATAAAGTAATGCTTACTGTTAATAACATCATGGAAATATGTTAAACTCTTGGATGCCAAAACATATGAAGAAGTAGAGGAAGAGAAGGCCACGACGAACGAGCAGTAAAACACACTTCAAGAAATAAATAAGAGTAAATAATTGTGCATTCGCCTGGAGTTCTTTAGTCGCAGATGTAACGCGAAAAGCTCACACGCATTGTTCTCTCCTCGCATTTCGTGGCAGTTGCCAATTGATGCACACCAGCAGCAAACTATGAAAATTGCCGATACTTAAACGAAGAAAAAAAACAAAGCACAAAAATGTGGATTCAACCCAAGGAACTGATGCTGCCCTTAGCACTTTGGTAAGCGTAAGAAATCCAAAAAGCAGGTGGAATCTTTCATTTATGGCTCTCAGTTGCGATATTCTAGCAGCTGAAAAGTTAAAAAAAATCCCTCCCCACACACACACACATGCACACGCCTACAGTTATGTAGGTAATAGTTCTTTTGTTATGTTTTTTGTTGTATACACTGTAAGCTGATAACTAATTGAGCAGAGTTCAAGTCGCCTGAGCTCTGCACTGATTCCATAAGCAGCTGTGCAACGAAAGCGTAATGTCAAACATTGATTGTTCTTTTTGCTCGCACAACTGTTTTTTGCTGCGTAAAAACCCCTGCTAAGAAACACACACAGCAACAAACCGTAGCAAAAAACACATGCAAATGCCCCGTTATTATATTAATATTTTCTGTTTTCCATTTCCTTTCGAATTTACAGGACTGGTGAAATGTACTCAAAGTACTTTGTGATGCAGAAGCGTCGTGGACATGGCGAATCTCGGAGCCTTGGATCCATGCTTGTGAGCACCTATGATAGCATAAGGAACACCAAACCGGCCCCATATCGAATAGTGCATCAAACATCCTCCTCTGATGTTTCTTACGGTAGGTTTAAAGCACGCCTTACCAGCGGACTGGGACTGGACTGTGCCACATGTGTTGATGTGTCGTCAATTTCGAGTGCAATATCAGCACTGACCAGAAGTGGGAGGGCGCCCAATCACTGACTGACTGACTGACTCATCCGAATCTCACACATACATAGTCGAAATGTACTGAATGTTTGTGATTGTGTTCGGTTCTGGGGCTATTTCAAATGTATGTCTGTGTGCGAATGTGCGATAAGGTAGCCAAAAAACGGATGTCTTAATATAATTCGTTAACTGTAATAATAATATAGGTAACTAACCGACAATAATGGAAATGATTTCACTACCAAGTAAATTATTAAAAAAAAAAAATGGAGAAGAGTTTGTAACTCAGAAAAAACAAGATTCATGTAGCTTGCAGAAAATTTAAAGATTTGTGTTTGTGTTTATATTATTTTTTATTTATTTTATAATTTATATTTTCTTATTGGTTAAGATTACAAGAACATTTAATTGATTTTATATAATCTTAATGATGATTTTACTAAACATTCAAAACAGGTTTATCATTAATTTTACGAATTTCGATCATGTAAATATTTATAATTAGTGAAGTGTACTGAGGTTAAAATATTAAAGCAAATCCCGCGCACAGTTCTCATATCAAATGACGCACCAAATAAATGTATGTGTCCGCAAATAACTGAATGATAAGGGAATGAACGATTGTAGTTATTACATAAATAAATGCAATTATTAGGTTATTATTAATTTAAGTGCTCTTTGAAATAGACTTTGTAAGTTTGTAGCATATTAAAATCTATTATGATTTTATAGAGATTGCCATTGGTATAACACTAGATGATATCGTCAAGGATTGGGAATGGTTGCAGGTCAATCTCTTCGGCGTTCTCAATGAAATGGAAAACGATGTTGAAGTAACAAATTTTACAATATATAAAATAAAATCGCTGTTCACACAAAATAATCAAGACAATACGGGCGAAACACCGGACTTTAAAGTGAAGACTTCACAGTTTCGTCAAATCTTCAAAATGCCCGAAGAGGAACGCCTTGTTAACTCTTATTCGGCAACGTGAGTAAATTAAACATAATATTAAATTCCTTGGGCTATAATCCTTTTATTTCTACTGCTGTAGCTATATAGAAAGTAAAATACCACGCCAGGGACAGTTATATATCTCGCTGAATCATGTGTGCTTCTACTCGTACATGCTGAGCCAGGAGATCAAGCTAATTATACGCTTCGCTGAACTGGAGAACATCAGTCGCAGTATCAACACAATCTATATGAAGACGGCCAACAGTATGACATACAATTTCACGCTGCTCTTCAATCTGATCGAGGCGCACGATCTAATTGAGCAGCTTAACAAAATGGCCATCCAAAAGCTAATGCATGAACCGGAGAGTCCCGTCGTGAATCACAATCCCTTGAATTTTGTACGTTTCGGCGCCAAGGCTTCCAATAAGCCTGTGCTGCTGCGCGATTTGACAGCTCGCCAAAAATCTGAGGAGTTTCGCGCTTATTTTCATCTGCCGCAAAGGGAAATTATTGATGGCAAGATTAAGGCAGACATCTGGACGCCCTACTCGAAGCGCTTCAATTCCGGCGAAATTTATCTGACGACCAATTTCTTTTGCTTCCGCAGCGATGTTAAGGATTTAGTCAGCGTTGTGATCCCAATGAAAACCATTAAGGTGAAGTTATATTATTTTTGAGCTGGTTATGAGTCCGTTTTGTAGCTGATTTTTGAACCTTCATTCCTTGCAGAGTGTTGAGAAGAAGGACGATGGTCAGCGGCGTTATGACAATCAAATTGTTATCTTTACATCGGACAATGTGCCTTTTATATTCGCCAAAATTATTGATCGTAAAGTGCTCATCTCAAAGATCACAGACATGCTCTCCAGCACCGATATGTAAGTGTCATTTTAATTAAGCATTCATATTTTGTGTATGTCGTCAATCTTCGGCATTTCGAAGTTAACTGCTGGTCTTACTTTGTTTAACTTACTGTTTTCAGACCCGTTAATCGCGAACGCGCCAAGTACGATATCTCGTGGAGCAAGCAGACTGCTTTGCTCAACACATTCAAGACACAGTTCAGCGCGGATATAAAGAAGAAGCAGGAGCTCAAGCTGGCTCGCTGGGAGCATCATTTCCGTGATTTTGGACGTGGCATATCGATGTTCCGTACCACAGACGTGATCAATTTGATTGTCGAGGGCATACCGGATAAGCTGAGGCAGGAGATATGGTTAATCTTCTCGGGCGCCATACATGACAAGGAGAATAATCCGGGCCTGTACGAGGATCTGGTGGAGAAGGCCGCCCTATTAAAGAATTGCGCCGTGCACGATGAAATCGATAGGGATTTGCCACGTTCGCTGCCGGAACATCCGGCTTTCCAATGTACCGACGGCATTGGCGCCTTGAGGCGTGTCCTGCAGGCATATGCACTGCATAATTCAAAGGTGGGCTATTGCCAGGCCATGAATATTGTCACCTCGGTATTGCTGCTGTTTTGCGATGAGGAGAACTCCTTCTGGATGCTTGCGGGCCTCTGCGAGAACCTGTTGCCCGACTACTACGAAGACAAGGTGGTGGGCGCCCAGATTGATCAGGGTGTGCTCAATGAGCTGGTCGATTCGCATCTGCACGATTTGCATGATCATCTGGAGAATTTGGGCGTGATTAAAATGATCTCCATCTCCTGGTTTCTCACCATTTTCATGAGTGTGATCAGCTACGAAAGTTCGCTGCAAATATTGGACTGTTTCTTCTACGAGGGCGCCAAAATCATATTCATGATTTCACTGCAGATCATCGAATGGAATCGTGACGATCTGCTCAAGTGTCAGGATGATGGCGAAGCGATGCTGGTGCTGCAATCCTTTTTGGAGGGCATCTACAATCCCGAATATCAAGTGCCGCCATCCACGGACAAGCGCAAAATGGATCGGCCCCAAACCCAAACGGTGCAGACGCTTATCCACGAGGCGTACACCAAATTCGGTGAGGAGATCACACAGCAGCGCATTGAGGAGCTGCGCAACAAGCATCGTCGCCTCACCTTCCGACAATTCGACATTGACAACGAGAAGATCATTGTAAAAGCACACGTGCAAAATGCCTACTTTGACAGGGCCGAGTTGCATATGCTGCTCAGCATCATACGCGAGGAGAAACTGGCACTGAAGTCCGTGCAACAGCAGCAGCAGAAGATGCAAAGTTATTTGAGTGAGGCGCCACAGCTGTTGCAGTCGCCGACTCGTTCTGGACCAACGGACGTTATGCCTGGTGGTGGTGGTTGTGGTCGCCACCAGGCTTACTGCATCAACTTTGAGGTATTCCACACGCTCTTCTTGGAGCTGGCGCCCTGGCGCAAGTGTGTTGCTGTCGACATTGCCGAGAAACTATTTCGGGTAGGTCTGCAACTGAATTTCGTATAGCTCAATCTCATACTAACTGCAATTTAAATCTTATGTAAGCTAACCGACAAGAAGGGCAATGGTTACCTGGACTTTGGCCAGTTAATCAATGCTTTTGGCTTGGTCTGCTCCAACAAAAGCATAGAGAAATTGAAACTGCTTTTTATGTTGCATTTGCCGCCGCTGCTGACGAAGGCGGAAACTGTACGTTCGCGTCGTCCACGTCCTGCCACTAAAGATGATGCTGAGGAGGCCATCGAGGCGGAGGATTTCTTTGAGTAATCATCAACTTCATATCATTACTCTTTATACCTTGTATATATCATTATGGCTTTTTATTTTGCTTTTAGCGAGGATGCCTCGGAATCAATTGAGGCACTGCCCTCGCCTTCGGATCATAATTTTGAAGCGCTGATGAATTCCACACATCATTTGCATACTTTGGCCGGCATTTCGGGCAACACTTTTATGGATTTATCACGAACAACTCCGAATTTCTCGCTGAACTCAAACGCATCGTCGCTGGCGCACCGCACCTCGATATTTTATGTGGATCTGCCCGCTGCTCTTCATGGTACTGCAACATGCATAGAAGCTGGGCAGGATGACGACCATGACATCGGTCTACGCCAGCAGGGACGTTACGAATCGATTGACACATTTTCGGATATTTCAGATTTGGGCGCGTCGCGAATCACGCCGCCGCCACATGCGTCGACATCAGCAGTAGCAGGAGCAGCAGTAGCTGGGACGGCTGCCGATCAAATGCTGAACGTTGAGACCATTTCGAATTTCTCACAAATCAGCGACCTGATCGCGGCCACTGGAAACGAGCGCGCCGATTCGAATGCAACGGATACACGCAGCCTGGGCAGTCTCGGCTATATGCTGGATCAGCCGGACGAGGGCGCTTCCGCGGCGGGACGTCAGAATGTGCCGAATATGCGTAAGGAGAATTTCGGGCTGCTATGGCAGAGCATCATTGAAATTATGGATTGTGGGCAGGACGAGGAAATGAAACGTGCATGTAAGTTAAGTTAAGCTACAGTTTAAGCAACTATTTGTAACACTTTCGATCAACAGATGAAAATCTTATTGAGCTGGGCAATAGCAACATGAAGCAACAGGCAAGCCTGGAGAGCTTTACGCAACTCAATTTTGGCGGCAGCGGTGATGAGGTGAGTGCAGGGATTATATAAATCTAATAACGAATATTATTCGGAAATATTTATTTTTACTTCAGCAACCGGATAGCAATGGGAATCCAACAACGCCCGCAGCCGAGCCCAGCAGCAAAACACGTTTGATTGTCGCTCTCGAAGAAGAGATGCGCCAAGCAAAGCTCAAAGCTGCGGGTGAAACTGGCGCAGCCACCACAACGACGAGCGGTGGCAGCAGCAGCAGCACAAACAACTCGGTTGCCTGGCACATATCCATCAATCAGTTTATAGCCACAGCACTCACTTGTGAACGCATCGATAAAGCATTCCAGACGTGCACAAACATCGTGGAGCAGATAGAGCAGCTTCAGAAGAAGCGACGAAAGTGTCTGTCCACTGATTATAACTACTAACTATACCATCTGTTGTAACCCTCCTCTCCCCCCATATTCTCTTAGAACCCAATGTATTAGCCATTAAATAAACCCATAGAAATGTGCAATGCGGTTGAAGCTTTTAACCCGTAACCCATTTTATAAATATATATATCCCCATATATATATATATATATACATATATATATGTAAAATGCATGTTATACGTATAATATCCCCCGATTATTTAAGCCAAATGTTTGTGAATATAGTTCTATGAAACCTATTATGTATAACAAAATTACAACAAGTATGACTTATGTTGAGTGTCCGTAAGGCAATTTATTTCAATATATGCACAGATACATAATATATACACATATATCAACTATATATTTTTACAAATTATACTACTGTTCCATATCCTCTCCATTCAACGTTTTGGAGTTACGCCTAATCACCGCTGATGCCTCTTGACGTGAATGCTCTGCGCTGCGCACCAGACACTCCTCGTAGTTCCACTTAGGGAAGACACGCTTGTAGAGATACATGAAAGCCGTATCGTAGGAGCGCAGCTGGCCATCAAAGTAACACTTCATGTGACCGTGCGTACCCAGCGACTCCTTAATGTGACCCATGTGACCGCATTTCGTGCGTAGTTTGACCGGCTTGAAGTACTCCACGTCCTCCTTGTAGAAGAACATATAGCGAATTGTTGCCGATTTCCGATTGATTCGCATCGGATGGCCGCTGAGCACGACGCGCTTGAGTACAATGCGATCCGGATTGCAGGACAGCAGACGACCGCGGGCGACCAGTGCCAGCGTCGAATCGGGATTCACCTTAAAGGCGAGCACAGCCGCAGGAGGAAACTGTATGGGTGCATAAAATGTAGCACAAACCGTCTCATAAGGACGAAAGAAACGCTCAAACTGCCGGAGAGAAGAATACAGATTAACAGATTACTTGATGCAAGTGTAACCCTCATGCTTACCTTATGCTTATCGCCATTGGTGTGCTGACTGTAGATGGGATTGACAACGAAGCGACGATAGCCACACTGCACAATCAGCTGCTCCTTGGACTTGAGCGGCACCTCTGAGTCGGGTATGCGTTGCAGGACAACGTTCATGACGCACATCTGGTGCTCATGTGGCAACATGCCATAGACAACCAAATTGTCCGACAGATGAGCGGACCTAAACGCATTCCAGCGCTCCAGCGGCACATTGATGACATGCAGTGTGATATATAAGCCGGGCTACATTTAAATACAATAAAAGTTAGTCAATTACTACTTAAGTACACAATTAATTCAAGCACTCACAGAAATGCCATCAAATTCCTTTGCCTCTGTCAAAATGCGACGCTTGGTGCGATCGAAATTCTTGAATTGATAAATACGCGCATAGTCGCTTGGTAGATTCTCTTTGGCATCCCAGGGCGATGTGCGAAATGATTCCAGTCCGCGATACTTCTGGAAGCGCTCGTGGGCGGGTACATCGAGGGGCGTGTCGATCTCGTCTGGCCACAGTTGATCGGTGCGCGCCTGTTGCAGTTTCTGCAGCGTTTCACGCTCCTCCTGAAAGTCCATTTGCTGATCGTATTTTTCGTCATTGACAGCTGCTTCCGAAGTGACTGAAACGCTATCTAAAAACTCTTCTGTGTCGGAGTCGCGTTTCTCGCACTCATCCTCGAAGGATTTGTTGTCACAAGACATAAAGTCTGCGTCCTCATCACTCATATCGTCGTCATCGTCATCGTCATCATCATCATCATCCTCATCATCATCCTGATCTTCCACTTCCTCCACATCGGGTATCCATGCGGCCTGATATTCACTGTAACCTTTGGGCACACGTTTGATTAGCCTAGACTTCTTAGTCTCTTTTTGCGCAGCCTCAATTTCCTCTTCTGTTGGCCACGTCTGCTCCGCATCCATGGGATCGGGTATATTCTCGCTTTGCAGCGACGTTTGCTTCGCCGGATTGCTGCGATCGAGCAAACGCACTTCGGCTTCTACTCCATCGCGACTCTTGTCCAGCTTGTACGGATCGGGTGGCGCATCCACCTGACCAACTTGAAAGTCACCAAGGCCGGGTATATGCACCAATCCGTTCACATTCAGCGATTGTCCGCGCAGAAATCCGGTCACCTTCAGGGTGCCCAGATCCCCATTCTCCACATATTCCACAATGTCGCCAAACAAGTTGGGACGATTGTTGACGTTGTGCAGGACGCGTTTCTTCTGTCCACCAATGCGTCGTATCACATTCAATGCCTCCGCGCTGGTGTCCAGCTGCATGACCTTCTCCTCCGGCAGTAGTTTGCTGATAAATTTCTGGGCTGCCTGCTTTGTGATGGGTCGACGCTTTGGATTTATGGATGCCAAATCCATCAGAGCCACCAGAGGCGTCGGTATGCCTTGGGCGGACATCATGTTGAATATACGGTGTCCCCAACGATCGAAGATCTCGTCGTCGCCAAATCCGGCCGACGTTAGCATCAGTGTGGTATCGCACACTTTCAAATAATCCAGAACAATCAACTCGTTGCCACGTCCAATGGGCGGGATGACAAAGGCGAAGCGCTGCTTGAAGCGCGGCAGATTCATGTAAACAGTGCCGTTGCCTGAGCGCTCCACGACAATTTCACTGTCACAGCTTTCGAGAATGGCCAGCGCAGAGTTGGCATCGATCTGCTCGTGCATCGACAGCAAGCAGACTAGAAATGGAGCCGTATTTTGGCCGCCAAGTTGTCGTTTCTGTTGCAACACCTCGTCGCGTTTGTTTTTGCGCAGCTGGTTGGACTGATTGCGACGCTGCTCCCTACGCTGCTGCTGCTTGTGCTTGTGCGAGATGGCCTTGAGACCGACTTTGCCTGTAAAGTAAACAAATGGAATTCAGTTAACAACTTTTCTTGCAGTTGTTGAAGCTAAATTTACACACCTTTCAGCGCATTATCGATGGCACCTTTGGAGCGATGACGACCCGTTTTATGGGCTTTATTGGTTTGCTTTAGTGGGCCAGGCCGATGAAATGCATGATCCGCCATATTTGGCTTATTTATTATAGCAATTTAACAACAAATTGTAAATCTCTTCACGCTGCTTCACTTTTAAAACGAGCTGAGCACATGTTCCTACTAGGTCTATCGATGCCCATTTATCGATTACAATTTTGGCACACTGCGCTCTTGTTGCTGTAAGATAGGTGGCAGTGTTGATAAGGCAACTGTAAAAATTGCGCGCAAGTTCAAATGAGAGTTTTTTTCGTAAACCTTTATTCGCATTGACAAATGGAGTTTAATTGTTCATTGATTTTTAATTTTAATTCCATTTATCTTCAGTTTCGATTCCTTCTGTCCTCGTGATTTTTAAGGCTTAACTGCGTTTGGGCGCTTAAAAAAACTTAAAAAGTAAACTTTTAAGAACTGCAGCGCCCATAATAAATTAGCCACACAAATGATAGGAAAAACAATAAAAGTGAAGCAATTTATCAATGACAACGGAAATTTGATTTATATTATATTAATTTAAAAGCGGTGATGACGGGGTGGGTAGAATGGCCATCGATTAGTTTGCTTGCTTACATAATTTCATTCGCTGCTGGCAAGCAATATTTAAAAAAAATGATATACATTTTCAAGATAAAGCGGGTAAAGTAGAGCAAGTGTACTCGTAAATAATGACCACTTAAAATTTTTGTCTTTAACGAAGAACTTTAATAAAGCTTAATAATTAAATGGGCTCCTTAAGAAGGTACATGGTACGAGTACACACAAATGTCTTATTTTGAGAATTATATTTTTTACCACTCGAATTTTGTATTTGGTATCTGGAGATGCTCGCCATCTTATTATTATTTAATACCTATTTATGAGCTTTTGGGAGTAGGTAAATACAAATGAGATGCCATAATATGTAAAAATCCAGCAACTGTGTGATTGCCTACTTGCATGCAACTGGGGTAAGATAAAAAAAAAATTGAAAAGCTTTTTAATTGATTAGCATTCTTAAGGTTAATTTCACTCATCGGTTCACTCTGGAGTTGGTGCTTAATTTGGGTAATATGGCTTGATTTATGTGGTAGGCTCTAATCTCATGCAGTTTTCAGTGGACATTTTGGGTTCTTTGGGGCCGCCGCAATTAACACGATTCGACGCGCACACAATGAGTTAGAATGACAGAGCAGGAAGTGGGATAGAAAGTGGCGAAGAGCAAACGGCAAATACCGAATCAGAATCCTTTAGCACTTTTCATTTTGCAGTCGAGTCTGAAATATTGGGCTAGCGATTTGACATATTGCCAACAAAGGAACTCATTATCTGTGCATTAAATGGAACAGGACCCTAGTCGCTGTTTCGGCCTGTGTGTCACGCTTATAAAACACATTTATCATAACTAATCCTTTGGGGTTTTGGCTGCCTGGCAGCCAGCCTGTTCTGGCCGCACAGCCTCTGACTTCGCCGATAACACTTTGAATAATAAATAAATACAACAAGCAAAAGCAAAAAATTTTTTTTTTGGCAAGCGGCAAAAGGCAAAACGGAAATGGATTTGGAAATGGTTTTTGGTGGCAGACGAAGGTTTTTAATGCAAACGATTATCATATAAGCAACATAAAAATAGGTTCACAAAAAAAAAGAAGAAAAAAAAACCAATGGCAGAGAACCCCAGGGAAAGACGAAACTTGGCGCCCACTCGATTCTTAGGCCCATGTCTCGGCTACAGTTGGCAACTGCCCAGCGTATTTATTAGAGGCTCTACGTTTAAATAGCCAGAGACATCAGCTACAGGAGCGACACTTGCCACCGATTTGCCATTTGGCAGCGTTAAAATAAATTTGACTCACACTCGACGCGGCAAAAGTTGTTGTCCCGGCCCCGCCAGCCATTAAAGCCAATTGCCCACAAAATCATGGCCGATATCATAATTGCTCTTCGTGGCTTTCGTTGTTGTTGCTTATGTGGCTGCTGTTGCTGCTGTTGCAATTGCTGTTGTTGTTCTTGTTGTTAGTATTGTTGTTTAGTTAGCGCCAGCCATGGTAAAGCCCGCTTACAAAGTGGCCCTCGGGCTTGGCTCATGTAAAATATTGTTGTACCCAGTTAGTTTAAATGTGAGGCAAGGTATATCTGCGAAAGTCAGTCGAATGTTGCAGCATCGAAAAATAATAAAAACATGTATAAACTCTATTAAACTTCTTCTAAAAGCATACCACAAAAGTTAGATTATTGTTGTGAATGAATAGCTACGATTTATAATGAGCTTTAATGGTATTTTGGATTTTTTTTTATAAATATTGTTGATACATTTTGTGATAATAGAAAGTAATAAGCTCCATTTTTACAGGGTATCTTGTGGTGGGTGAGCATATTCGTATTTTACAATTTTACTTGTTTATTCAGTACACAAACAGCAGCAGCAAAACATGAGAGAATGAGAGGGAAAAATCGCAGCTGTGATAAATTTAAACACTTGTTGTAGAATTGTGTAGCCAAAGTTGCTGCTCCACAATTTATTAGAAACACTTTGCGGTTGTTTTGGTTTTTTGCATGCGTCGCCGACGATGCCATAAATGTCTCTTGGCCGCTTGCAACGCATTTTTATTGAATTTGTGGCCTGAGCCGTGTGCGACATGTTGTCATGGAAAGACAAGTCGAAACAGAAAAGAGAAGCCTGAACCCAGGGAAAGATCTCCACCAACATCTCCATTTGCATTTATGGCTCGTGCACTTTTGGCACTTGACTTTGCGCCAAGTTAATTAACACTAACGGCTCAAACGGGTTGCAGCTTCAATGCTAATGAAACTTCCGTTCGTCGCATTCTCGTAAATTGTATTGTTTATCTAAAAACTGAGAGTCAGCTTTCTGCTGGCTGCTCGCCAGCCGTACAGTTAACGGACTGCAAAATGCTTTGGGCCCTGGCTAATGACAGAGCAGGCTGCTCAATGGCTGGCGTTCAGGTTGTCAGCCTGCCATGTATGTGAGTTATGGGCGTGTCATGTGCGGAGGGTTCCATATGGCAAGCAAGTCATTGGAGCTGTCGCTGCTGCTGAGCTGCTGAGCTGATGACTTTTAAACTTTCTATTAAACTATAACAGCGATGATAGATGAATAATAAGAGAACAAAATACATAATAAAAAAGTTTTTTTTTTATTGTTCAGTCATTGGCGACAGCGGTTGCGTCTCTGAGTGAAAGTTCAGCGGCAAATGCCAGACCGAGATCAGCCAAGAAGCCTGGGTATCTATAGATAACTTGCCGCTACCCCTCCCAAAGAGCGAGAGGAAAAATGCAAAGAAGTCAGCATAAGTCTGCCATATTTGCTCAACATACGCTTAGCAGACGGGAGCTGTTGATGCCCAGGGTGCTGCAGACTGAAGAAGAGCGATGCTGCTGCATTTGCGGTGAGTGCGTGCCTCGCATAAGTTAGTCCCGTGCCCCATGCCCCACGTACAGTTTCTGGCCAGCGATATTTGAGAGGCAAGCCGGATGAGCAGGCCGACTAAAGCAAATGGCATCGAGAACAGATTGATGAGTTGTTGAAAAATGGCAAACTTAAACAACAGTTTCACTTAAAGATAAGAACGGCAACTTTAGAAGTATGTCCCGGAATATACAACGATGTGCATATAGAGCGAATGACTAACGATATATGTGCAAACTTGGCCGGAAAGTCGAACGTCAGTCAAGTCCAAAGTAAACACATAAATATCAAATTATATTTTTAGATTATCCAAATTGATTACAAAATGTTAATGAAATTACAATGTTATTTTACACAGTATATGTATTTTGAATGAATATAAATATATGTATATTAAAATTGTCAAAATTTTGACAAATTCAACTCTAGAAAGTATGCTTGAAAGGTACTTGATTAGTTTTTCAGTTCAAATTGCAATTGTAAAATATGGTACACTTAATCTTGATGCCAGTTATATTTCATAGTTGGCCAGGCTAAAAAAATTGTCATACATGTTAGTTACAATTGTGAAGGTTTTTGTGTTTAGTATGAACTTCCCAAAAAATGGCAACTGGCCAGTTGCTATCGCGGCATCAGCATGTCTGTCGGTGCTGGCAGTCTCCCTTGTATTTTGCTTCTGGAGGCTCCGACGGTTCGTCTGCTTACCGCAAATGAGTTAGTCTTACTTCCATTATCTAAATGTTTGCACTATTTGCTTGTTTGTGATGGCTGGCCTATGCCAATTTTTCTTTTTTATGACACACCAGCTGTAAAAAGAGATAATTATTTCATACAATAATTAGTTGTAATTATGTTGTTGATTTGAGCTGAAGTCGCACGAAGACTATCGATAACGATGGTACAACTGATAATGATGATGGAGAGAATATGCAAATCATTGAATCAAAATTTAAATGCAAATGCAAAAATTAAAATGTGCCCATAAAAATGTTGCACCCTGTGAATGAAGAATATAAACAACAACAACAAATATATTAAAGCTGAAAAAAGAGCAAGCAGACATTTTGCAAATATTATTACAACATTTTTTGCCATTTATATTTTTTTAAAACTAGTTTCCACGTGTGTGTGTGTGTGTGTGGGTGGGAATGTGTGTTTGTGTATGTTTGCAGAGGGTCGGTTTGTATTTTATTATTTTTGCTGGCTGCATGATAATAAATTTGCATTTAAATCACCGCCGCCGCCGCTGCCACCGATGCCCAGACGATTGGGCCGCTTGTCCTGGTTTTTTGAGGGGTGTCGTCCTGTTTGCACACGGTCCACTTTTTGGGCAAACGAAACAAAAGCAGCAGCAAGTGACTATTTTGCCGTCAGAGAGTCAGGAGACAGAGCGTTGGATATATGTACACACAACATTATTAACCACAAAGTGTCACATGATTTTATTTGGCTCGTTTTCGTGCATTTCACCTGCAGCTTTTTGCACTGCACTTGTCCCGGCCACAGGACCCCCAGACGAAGAGACCCAAGACCAGCGCAAGCGACAGCCGAGTCACAGGACTTGCTCACTTTTATTTTTGGGCAGACTTCTGTCTGATTTTAAACGCTGATAAGCAGCACTAAAGGACATTCAAAAATAAAATAGCTGCTAGTAGCACTTGTCTTGTACTTGTACAACTGTGACTCCGACTGCAACTGGAACTGGAACAGGGAATGGGATTCGGTCTTCGACTGGGATTGCAAAAG